AGAGAGAGAGAGAGAGAGAGAGAGAGAGAGAGAGAGAGAGAGAGAGAGAGAGAGAGAGAGAGAGAGAGAGAGTCTTTCGCATTCCCTGCATTTCTTGTCCTTTTCTTCCTTTTTGCCCATGGTTGGGGTAGTTCTCTGTGAGTATGTGTTATATAATTCATATGAAAATAATACCTGGAACGGTTGATTGCTTTCTTCCTTCTTGTCCTTTTCTTCCCTTCTTCTTATTTTACTAGCAGATGTATGACGCAGTGTGTAAAAGGATGTACTGTTAAATGTCTGACACAACAGTCAGCCGTGAGAGCATATAACGGAAGCAAGCAATCAACCGTTCCAGGCAATTTTTACCGAATTGGAATTTGGTAAGAAGGTTAACTTTTTCACATGAACAGTAGGGAAATAAAATCTTATTAAGGCCACGCTGTCCATCATCTCTGTCTCTCTCTCTCGCTCTCTCTCTCTCTCTCGCTCTCTCTCTTCTCTCTCTCTCTCTCTCCCTTCTCTCTCTCCCTTCTCTCTCTCTCTCTGTTCTCTCTACCAGTGTGCCGTGGGCAATTACTGCTGTCGACAATTTGACTATAGAGTGGGAATCACCCAGCCGCAGACAGGCAGCGGGTATCATCCTACTCTACCCCGAACACAACGCACCCTGATGATGGCTGTACCGGGCCAGATACGTAGCTTGTATACATTCATTATCAGGGCGCGTTATGTTCGGGGGAAGTGTGTAGGGTCTAGTTGTTCAGCAGCGGCAGCAGCAAGCAGGTGAAATTGCCCACCGCGCACTGGCTGTAGTGGTCTAAAAGGCATGTGGAGTGCGGACCCTCCCTCATTACCTACTCTCTCCGTTCTCTCCGTTATCTCTCTCTCTCTCTCTCTCTCTAGAGCAACATCGGCGGTTTTGACGACCCCGAGGTTTAAGAGAGAGGTCCTTCCCGAAAGAACTGCGAGCAATATTATATTATTTGAATCTTTCTATTATTTTGAAGCCGGCGGTATTGTATGCATTTAATTCTTTCTGCCATAAGAAGGAATTGTTTGCAGTGCATTGGTTGAATCTGCAGTATGTTTTGTTTTGTTTGGGGAAAATAACAGTCCCTGTGAGTGCCTTGGCTTATGAGTGGGAGGTGATGGTAATAACAAATTGTAGTGGACAGGTTCGCGCTCTCCATAATGTTTTTAGGGCTGAAGACAATGTTATATTGGGGTTTTGTATAGGTATGGATTTCTGCGATTGCACAAGGAAGTGTGTGGGAAGGGGGAGAGGTGTTTGGTCTTTCAGTTGAGGTTTCCGTGGGGACGAGGGGGGGGAGATGGGTGGTGGGGAAGGGAAGAGGACGATGAGTAGGGAGGTGGATTGAAGG